CTCCGATGCCCTGCCTGTCAGAGAGGTATTTTTTGAGCTCTCAGGCTGTCCTCAATTAGAGCCTGGTGGATTTACTCTGCTCAGTACTGCCAGCTCCTGATACACAGTGCACGTGGCAGCTGATGCTTCTGGTACAGCCTCCAATTTACTCGCCCATCCAAAGCTCCTCACAGCGATAGCCACATAAACGTGGCCTGTTCTTGAACATGTTGGTTGCCCCATCAATCACCTTCGAAGCAACAGGGCCATGTAAGGGGCTGGTGGGGGTGGGGGAGCAACACCTTACCCTCAAAACTGAGGAGTCTGCCACCTTATGAGGTTTTAAATGATTTTCACTTCCCAAAGTAATGCAGTGATTAAAGACACAACTTTTCCCCCAAGAGAATTATATCACTCTGTATATACTGCACAAACAGAAAACTTGGCCCCAAACCAAGGGAAATGTGGTCTTGAGAAAATGAATAATCTGTTCTTCATAAAAAGCCAGCTCAACAACCAATGACCTCATTAAACCACCGGCCAAAACCTTCCGCTCATCTCCCAGTCAAGCAAGCAGCATGTGCGGCCTCTATATTCACACCCATCTACACTCCAGTCTCCCTGCCTTACCTCTAGCTCTCCTTCCCACTCCACCCGAGCCAGTCCTGTCCAGCCAAACATCCTCCCCTTTAACTCCAATGTCTGTCCCCATAACTTCCTGGTCCAAACCCGCCCCTTTGGACCTCCACAGAAGTTTTATTTCACCTCCTTGTCTGGGCCTGCGCCTGACACTGCTGGGGAAAAGCCCAGGCACAGATCAGCACTGCCTTTAGGAGCAGAGGCAGCAGCAAAGGGGCCCTCAACGATGCTGGGGACCCTACCACACTCTTCTTGCCAGCCCAGTTTCTCACCTTGCTCAGCTATTATTTGACTTTCAAACCTCCAGCTCCTCTCATACCCACACCCCCTTGGCAAATGGCCTTGCCTGTAAATGGAACACGGCAGCCATCTCCCACAAGTCTCAGCTGTGCATCTATCTGAAGCCTTAACGGCTTCCTTTCTGTGCCCTCTGTCCCTTCCTCTCAGTGGAAGTTCCCGGTGCCACTTACTTGTTAAATCTCACTCAGCTCTACATTTTCAGAAGACTCACCAGATAGATTATCCCTTTTCTCTGGTATTTGTTCCACGTCTTCCCTTCAACCAGACCCTTCCCATCAATAGTTGCAGACCCTCGAGCACTGAGCCTCCCCACCGAAATGCTCTGGTTACTCCCGTTTCTCTGCTGACCTCCACGGAAAAAGGGAAAGTGTCCTACCTTGTCTCGGTCCTTTCACGCTCCACTGAACTTTCAATCCACCCAGACCTGGTTTGGACCACTCCCTTGGCCCTCCTTCTGGTTCCCACCAACCTTCCGGAAAGGTCTCTTCATTGTCAAATTCAAAAGGAATTTTTCCCCCCGTTCTTCATCTTATTTAACAGCCTGACATGTTGATGCCTCTCTCCCTGAAATGTTGTCTCTTGACCTCTGCAGCCAGTACTTTCCCTCCGACTGCTCGGGCCACCTTTCTTTCATATCAACGGCAGCAAATTGGACTCTCACTTCCTTCTCAACTTCACTATTTAAAACAGCAGAACAAGCCGGGGGTGGGGGGCAACAAACACAGGCCCTAAGCAGAAGGGTCAAAGGACAACAGGGAGTGGTGTGGATTATAACTAAATGGAGAGCAGGTGTTCCACCCCAAAAGAACAACAATTACTCAACTCACACCAACTGTTACCGGGAGGGAAGCTGAGTCCATTACTGCCAGATCGCCCAACTTGTCAAGAAAAGCCAGAAATTCTAATGTGTACAGGAAAACTCAGAATGTTTAAATTTTGCCAACTGCATCCCTTGAGGCTTTTTCTCGAGCAAATAAAGAAAACGTGATTCAAACTGGGTTATACTCAAAGAGGAATGCACTGGCTCATTCAACTGTAAAACCTCAGGCACAGCGAGGTTGAAACAACAGAATCGGGCCCAGTTTCTCCAGCTCAGCTGCACTTCTCCTCGCTTGTTCCCATTCTCAGACCAGCTCTTCCTACTGGCAGGATCCCATCCTCAGACCGGCTCTTCCTACTGGCAGGATCCCATCCTCAGACCGGCTCTTCCCAGTGGCAGCAAAGCAGTTCTAGACATCTGGCCCACAGCCTTAGGCAGAGAAAATGGAAAGTCTCAAGATTGCCTCTGGCTGGGTCACCTTGACTTCCGGAGACTCGACTTTAGCAAACTACTATGAGTAGCTGACACAAGGAATGACTAGCTAGCCTGAGGCAAAGTACTTCACTTGGAACTTTATTTGATGCATAACGTCTCAGGCTGAAGGATAAAACCCCAAATCAAATCCCGAGCCAAGGAGGCAATGCCAACTCATAACAACCCTCCAGCCCTCAAAACACTCCTGCCATCGGGTCTGTGCCGACTCATAGCAGCCCTATAGGGCAGGATAGAACTGCCCCTGTGGGTTTCCAAGACCGGAACTCTTCATGGGAGTAAAAAGCCCATCTTTCTCCCGATAAGCTGCTGGTGAGTTTGAATCACTAACCATGCAGTGAGCTACCCAATGCCTAGTCCATGCTGCCACCAAAAGAAATGTCTTCTAGACAGTCCAAAAAAAGCTACAAAGATGCACACGATAGCAAAGGAATTTAATATTTAAGAATCACGACAGCAGCTAAATAAAACTACACTGACCAAATAGTTTGCTTGTCAACTTCCAGTTCCAATCCTCTTTGCTTTACCTTTGTCTTAGTTCTCATCCAAGACCACGCTTTCATGTAATATCTCTATACCCAAAATATCACTTGGGAAAAAAAATCTCTGGCTCACAAATTGAGCTGCCTACTCAACATCTTCACTTGGATGCCTCAAGCTCGTCTCAAATTCAAACTGTCCCAAAAGAAACTATCTTCCCACTCCCTACCTCACACTCTTCTGACACCCAAAGGTGTCACCCAAAGCTGGCCTTCCTCAAAGGTCTCACAACAAGGAAAGGCAGCCAACTTCCTACATTCACATTCAGTTCTCTCTGGAAAAGGGCTTTAAATCAGCCCACTGCTATTGAGTGGATACAACTGACAACCCTATACAGAGTCCCCAACCGTATAAATCTTTAAGAGAATACGTGCTGTCATCTTTCTCCTGTGTGTCACTAGTGGGTTTGAACTGTCAACCTTGTGGTTAGTAGACTAATGCCTAGCCCATAGCCCCGCCAGGGACCCTTAGTTTTAAATAGGGAGCCATTAAAAACAAAAACAGTTCTAACTTGACAATCCTAATAACCTTAACCAAGGAGAGTCCAGGTATCCTCAATACAAGTAACCATCACCACCTGGCTATTGGTACTGCAGCGCTCCAAGAGGTGTTTTTAACTTGTCAATTAAAAAAACTGGAATGTTTAAACAGAATTCCAAGGTTACAAATAACGCCTTCACTTATAAACAAGTGCAAGTCATTAAGATTTATTCTTCTATAAAGCCTTTAATTTTTAACTATGATTTGAACTTAGTGAAATGATATCCTATTGAGTGTAATGCCAATTGGGGGAGGTACATTTTACTCTAACTGTATCATGATTCCATATTTTTTTTATTTACTTATTTCCTATCTTTGGAATCAGGCCAGCATGTATTGTTTAAGAAGAAAACAAATATTTCTAAAATCAACTGTATTCCACTGCATACAGTGCAATTCCCCTGAAATTCTTTTGTTACTTCAAACATGCAGCAAAGATTTGTTATCTTACTTCACCTAGATTTGCTCTTTGCATTTTGCAGGCATACAGAAATTAAATATCATAAAGAATACAAATGAAAGAAAAATCTCCAGGGAATGTTACTGACCAGCATTGAGGGAGTTTTCTATCAATTTTATATCTCCTTTGATCTTAACAACCTAGAGATTGGTAGGGTAAATATTACCGTATCTTTATCAAAACCAGTGTTTGTAAAATGCAGACTATTACTCTATGTACCGCTAAGCTGGGGCGGAGGAGAAGTACCACATACTACACTATTACACACCATGCACAACCAGACACATTCCTGTTTCTAATATTTAAAGTGTAGATTTTTGTTAAGGTATGTCTTCTAAGCTATGGAAAACATGATCAGAAACTCACTTTACAGATAAAGAACCTGAGGTGCAGTTAGTAAGTCAGCTCAGCAACTGCAGACTGGACTCGAAGCAGTCGGATCTGCTTTTCTCCTAGTCTAGCCTCAAGCTCGGAATGCCTCCTCCATTTTCTCCTGGGGGAAAGCCTCTCTGGGACAAAGTCGGAAAAGAAGTTGGCTCAATCGGTGCTTTAAAATGGACATGGATGCTAAGACTGAGAATAACTGAGAACTTGACCATCCTCTGACAGCCTCCCCTCAACCCCCCACCCCCCAACAGCCTAGGAAGTACTGAGATCAAATGCAAGATATGCTGGGTGTGCAAGAAAAAGATCACACCGTTAATTCTACTGCTAACTCAGTAGAAAGCAGGTTGGCACAAAATCTTAGTTGCCTCTTAATTTTAAATGTGAGTCACAAGACGGTTTCCAGTGGTGAAACTCTATTGAGTGGCATTTAGTCAAGACTGAAACTTTCATGGTTCTGTAATAAAGTGTGTCCGTTTAGTGATGCTTTTGTTTAAAAAAAACAATACTCACTTGGAAAGGTGCCGCATTCCAGCTAATTACTGCATAAATTAATGCAAAGCAAATGTGTAAGCTTAATGGTTCTAATCAGCATGCACAGAGGCCTTTTTGATTCAAATACCCAACATTCATTGAAACGAAAATTTGATGCAAAAGCTAATAGATTTAGTGTGTGGGATCCGAATGAGACAGAAAATGCTTAATTCATGACAATGCTTTTATTTAAATCTAATTGCTTTACATTGTGTAATCTGCACAGCACCTAGAGCAGTGTGTTAAACATAGAAACCGCCTAAAAGTGCACATCATGTGATTTATAAACAAGAAAAATGACATTCCATCTGTCTCAGTATAGGTTTCATTTTTCCTAGGCCTGTGCTGGCTCTAAGAATTTGGGACAATCCAGTGACATAGCACGGGGTGTCGACTTATGGTACGAGCAGAGTCAAGGCTGGAACATGGCGCTCAAACCCAGCCAGCCACACATCGGTGGTGGCAGAACATACAGTTAGTTCCACGACAGATAGAAATGAAGACTAGAAGTAACCTTGCATCCTTTCAAGTCAGATCTTGCCCTCAAATGAGTTCGGGCCGTTGCTGGAGCTTTTCCAGAACTTTTCGAATTCAAAGGGCTACAGAAAATAGGAAGTCAATCCATATCACTGTATTTGTGCACATAGCTCCTTCACATGCACCTTTTTTCCCATTTGCTCAGCAATTTACTGCTGCACAATGCACCCATATTTAGACAACACCTAAAAGTGGCCGCACAGCTTAGC